CTGGATTATTGTAACTCCTTATTATCAGGGTGTACCAAGAAGTCAGTCAAGTCGCTTCAGCTGATTCAAAATGCTGCAGCTCGTGTACTAACCAGAGTTAGGAAAAGGGACCACATTACTCCTGTTCTGGCTGCCTTACAATGGCTCCCTATAGAACACAGGATATCATTTAAATTATTCTTCTCGCCTACAAAGCCCTTAATGGACAGGCGCCATCTTACCTTACTGAGAACTCATTATACCCTACTGTCCTACTAGGGCATTGCGTTCCAAGAATGCAGGGTTGTTGGTTGTTCCTAGAGTCTCTAAAAGTACAATGGGAGCCAGAGCCTTTTCTTATCAAGCTCCACTTTTGTGGAATCAGCTTCCAGTTTGTGTTCGGGCGGCAGACACCCTATCCGTTTTTAAGAGTGCGCTTAAGACCTTCCTTTTTGATAAAGCTTATTGTTAGGGCTGATTAGATTCAGCCCCTAGTTTTGCTGCTATAGGCTTAGTTTGTCGGGGGACACCTTACTTCTTCCTTCTCTCTGTTTGTACCTGTGTACTATCATGTTCCGAATAACCCAGCTTCCCCAAATTTCTTTTTGGTGTCTATCTACGCTGGGATCCGGAGTCATGGCTGATCCTGTTGCTGTGGTCCTGGATCATGAGTCCTGGATGGATATCCTCGTGGACTCATCTTCTTACTATAGACACATGCATTTCCAAACATTTGGTCTACCTACGCTGTAAAATGCATTATCTTTTCGATTTACACACGGCATCTATTGCAGGGCTGTCCGTCCTGGGAGAGGGATCCCTCCTCTGTTGCTCTCCCTGAGGTTTCTGCAATTTTTCCCTTTAAACTGTGGGTTTTCTCTGGAAGTTTTTCCTTGTACGATGTGAGGGTCTAAGGACAGAGGGTGTCGTATTGCCATACTGATATTCTGTACAAACTGTGAAGTCCACTGAGACAAATGTAACATTTGTGATATTGGGCTATATAAATACACATTGATTGATTGATTGAAACACATGAGCAGCACATACTACAGTTTCATTTCAGGGGTAAAAACTAGCGCTTACTCAGCCATCCCCCCTCAGACTTTATATGGGAAGTGCCCCATGCAGTGGATGGGACTAGCAGCACTTACAGTAATAAATACTGACAGCAGGGCAAGACTGTGTTATACACGCTGCATACACTCTACTGAACACACTCTGTTAGTTTGGTTCAGTTGAGGTCGATGGGGTCGTTTTGCAGCCAGTTGTTTACAAAGATTGTACAAGTTAATCCACCAAACATATTTATATAATTATTATACAACTGTAAAACTCTTTATAACAAGGATGGTACTAACCTCGCTTTATTATATCCTAACCTTTTGTAGCATTAATACAAACACGTATTTCCAACCATGAAACATTTGTAAAGTGTCTTATTATATCCTGTATTGTTTACATTACTTTGCAATTTCCTCTTTTCTTGCCTATTAAAATCATGGCATGTATGTGAACTTAGTTTTGTCTCTGTAGCAGTTTACTATATGTCTCTGCATTTGTTTAAACATTCCAACCTGCGGTATGAACACGTTTCCTCTTATGACTGGTGCTGACTGTTTACTCTGTTCATTTGTAAACTATACGCTCCGATTCTAGTCTCATGTCAGATCTAGGACTCCATCTGTATTTCCAAATGAACCGATCTAGACTATTAGTAGAGCCAAACCCTGCTACAACCCAATGGTCTGTTGTCAACTGTTGGGACAGACGAGTTGAAACTTGAATAATCCCTGGAGCTCATCTTCTGCTGAAGGTAACATTGTTGCACCATGTAGGGTCTAATAGTATTTAATTGATGTTTAGCTTAATGGTTGGCTCCAGTTGTGATTGTCTGTCTCTTGTGTCAGACCTATGTTTGGCTGGAATCTCAACTGACGAGCTCCTAAGTTATAATTAATAAATAGATTCACTCATAAAGTTCAAACATACATCAAGGCCTCAATCTTAAAGTTGTATGCAGAAGTGTCATCATTATCTTTCTTCTCTTTTGGTGAATTGCACTTGTTGAACTCAATAAAGTTGGTTGAAAAAAATCCATGGATTCCGCCTGTGGGCTGCAGACCAGAACAATGGATACGATCAGTGTGTGATATGAAACTGGTGAATAATTCCTAAATAAAGCAGAAATGCCTACAGTTATAGCGCCAACGTGTATTTTGGGCACGTTTTTAAAAGTTAAACGATGTTTGACGGGTTTGAAACAGCTAAAGAAGTGTTAGTTATATTGTCAGACCAAAGAGTCTGAATCCCGATATGATCGATGAGCAACACGCAGCAGCAGTTAGCCTGTTAGCCTCCATGGTTAGCCTCAGATGAGCAAAGTGGGATGTTCTGTCTAACCTCTAGATAACGTGAAAATGACGGACTACGCAGAAGAGCAAAGGAATGAACTGGAAGCTATAGAGTCTATATACCCAGACTCTTACACAGGTTTGACTTTAATTCATGAAACATCATTAAACAGAGAAGCGATAGACAGAGTTAGCTCCTAGTCTAGCAATGACTCACGACATAATTGACTGAAACATACATCCATCAAATGTAACTATTTCTGGGGCACAAAGTGGTACAACGTTATATGTATTGTTGTTGTAACGGTACTGCAGCTATATGCCAGACATGCAGCAGTGAAGGACAAGCTGAGAACATGACTATGGACAGTGAGGTGGCGTTTCTCCGAACTACATTCAGTTGTAGTAACTCTAACCTGTTTAATGCATATGTATATATATGTTGGTCACTGCTTCAACATTTTAGATAACGACCTATATAACCCTATACATTCCTTATTTAGTTTTTGCTATTTTCTAATTGCCTGAAATGGTTACTAATAGTGCAATTGATTAAACGGGATCAACACTTCACATCAAATATATAAATATGATACGATTATAAAATACAAATGATTGTTAAATATTAAACCAGTAGATCCTTACCTCTTTGTTAAAACATTACATTTCCTATTCAAGTGATACAATGATAATACTAACATATTTTGTCATATTATACTTTTTGGTATCTATTTTTTCATGTAAATCTATATTTTAATGTTATAATAGTTTGGGTTTTTATTAATAGTTTTATTTTGTGGTCGTTGTCTTACAATCTATCTTTAAGTGTTTATGTATGCAGTGCACCATATACACCAAGGCAAATTCCTCGTATGTGAACATACTTGGCAAGAAACCTGTTTCTGATTAATTTACTTCTCAGATTGTTCAATTTCATTATTTCTTAATGCTCAAAGATGTATAATTATCCAATATTTATCCGTAAAAGATAACATTAGAAAAGTCAAAACAATTAAAATACATTCAGAATTTCAAATGTTGTTGTACTTTTTCCCAGTGACCATCTTACTACCACTATGATTCTCTTTATCTTCGGACTCCTTTAAGTGGCTCCAAGGTTTGGAACAATGAAAAGACTGAATACATTGAAAACGACTCCCTCCACCAGCTGCACAAACATAATGCCACTCTGTAAAACTGATGCAGAAGTATGTAATAAGGCATCAAAACATGTTGATGTTGTAATGACACTCCTTCAAGCATTAAGACAGATTGCTCTCTGCTGTCAGATTAGGAATTGTCACATGGTGTGTTAAATTAAACCTCTTTATTGAATAGCATCTGATACTAATACATGTGTGTTTGTAGTTCTTTCAGAGAAGCCTATCAGCTTCACCATCAATGTAACGTCAGATGCAGCGGAAAACGGTGAAAGTGAGTAAATGTCTTCATCTATGGTTGCAAATTATTATCCATTCCACACATGTGTTTAACACTGTTAGGAAATCTCACCTTGTGCACAATGAAATTAAGCAATATTGAATGAAATAGCATATCAAAGCTATATCGTAAACAAACACCCTATTAAAAGTGAGTTTGAAAGTTGAAATGAAGCAAACTTTAATAAAATGAGCCGTCTGTTTTGTTCTTGCAGCCGTGGAAGCAACATTAAAGTTCACATATGTAGAGAAATATCCAGATGAGCCCCCGTTGTGGGAGATCCACGACCAGGAGAACCTGGAGGACAGCGACATGGGAGAGATCTTCACCTTACTGCAGCAGCAGGTCGGTCCATATCTACTTCATTTATATCAGTTTGTTCCATATATTTAAAGGATCCATACCTCAAATATAGTAGTTGATGACAATACCAGTAAAACAAATTCATTACCATGGTAAACAAAAACTAAAAGAAACACTCTGCTGCTGTCAATCAAACACCAACACGCCCCCCAGCTGAAAAAGAAAATTAGAATTTGTCATATTTCAAGGGCTGCAACGACATATTGACTTTATCGATTAGATCCATGACATAACCTCATAGATTTTAAATCCAGGTCCATTTTTTACATTTATGTTACGTTCCGGAGATGGATGCAGCCGGGCGCCAGGAGGATTTCACTGTGGGGGCTGTTAAATCTATTTCATAAAATTAATTTAATTAATTTAACTGTGGAATAGCCTCAGACATGCAAAATAATAACAACAGATGCTACACTCAGATAGCATGACTAAAACTAATTTTAACCATCTCGGGCTGGACTGCACATTCATAAAGCCTGCATTAAGCAACACCATAAGAGCACGGTGCAAAGTATATAGATGCTCTTACAGTAGTCCTCTGTACAGAAAACTGTAGTTCCCCACAGCAGACACACATTAATAACAACCGCTGGCTAGTCGTAAATACGTTGGATAGTGTAAGTGCAGTGGGATTCTCCTGAAACCCGGTCGCCTTTTCCTAAGTCCTTTTGAATTCTCCTATCCACTATTCCTTAACCCCTTGAACTTCACACAGAGGTCCAGGAATCGTGGTTAGGAAAAGACGATAGGAGCTAATTTTTGGACAATTCCACCGCAACCCTAGTCAACACCATTCAATTTACATGCAAATTACAAGTGTGGTCTGCACATGTTTGTTGAGCGTGTGTTCTCTTGCGCCACATGGTGGACGCGAGAGAGGGTTCAAGATGTGTAATTTGTCAAATTCTGCGTAGAACACTCCATGCAAAAATAATGTCCAGGGTTGCAGTCGAATTGTCCAAAAATCAGCTCCTATCGTCTATTCCTATCCACTATTCCTTGACCTCTGAGTGAAACGTCACGGGGTTAAGGGATAGTGGATAGGAGAATTCAAAAGGATTTAGGAGAAGAGACTACAGTGCTTTGAGAATCCGACTGCACTTTCACTATCCGACGTGTTTATGATGCGCCAGCGGACGTCATAAATGTGCGTCTGCTGCTGTGGGGAAACTACATGGGAAACTATGGAAACGGT